GCACGGGTTGGGCGGGTGGCGGGGGGGGGGGGGCAGCGCATTTGCCTTTCTCTGTAGCAGGGGCATGGCCTCAACATGGGACCTCTTGAGCATCTATTAACAACCTTTTATAGGACACTGGTGGCTGGGGTCTCTCCACTTTCCCAGTGGCAGTTTCAGGTGCTATGTCTGGTCTTATGTTAGGGTCAACGGTAGTTTTACGAAGTTTAGACGCTGGGTGTGTCTGGGATGATTTGGACAGGGCTGATCCTGTCTCAGGCAGGGGACCAAATTAGACATGACCTCTGGAGGTCCATCCAGCCCCACTTCTTTAGGACTCTATGAATCTCTCTACAACTCTATGGTTAACTTATGGGAACTGGGTAGAAGTCACTGGGAAAAGCTGTTACCAGGACACCTGAGCCAGCCCAAGCCTGGCAGCAGGTGGCTCGCAGGCACCTTGAGAAAGGGGTGGCCTGGTTTGGTCTTGATCACTGATACATGCCCTGGTTGCATTAAGGGAGTCCAAACAAGATTAAGGACCTTCCTGCCAGGTACTGTGACAACATAAGAGGTCTGTGGGAACCATCCCACCCCTGACGGGCAGTGACAAGGATTTGGCCCTCTCATGCTATGGGCTGAACAGCCATAAGGGCACCAGCCGCCACGCTTTGCACGGTACCTGACTCCTGGAGTGATGCAGGCTCCTCTCTGAAGGCACGAGGCAACCTCCCCCGGGGCCCTGGGCTTTCATCCCATCCAGCCTCGTCCTGGGGTGTGTGCATGAGGGGACACTCCAGACAGGAGTCCAGAGGTTCCCACAATGTCCCAGCAGGCACCATCTTGTCCGAGGTCATGTCCTCGACTTTCACACGCACTGTGACCTGGCGGGGGGAGCGAAACATGTTGCCAGGCAGCCCTGAATAGGGAGACGGGGATGACAGCATTGACGACAGGGTGCAACGCTCTCACCTGCAGCTTCTCATCCTCCTCCTGCCCCAGCTGAAACCCCTCAGCCAGGGCCACAGCCTCGGCACAGGTCTCCACGCCGCGCCCCCACTGCCAGCTCTGCATCTCCTGGGGCAGGATGGCCAGGAACTGCTCCAGCACCACCAGCTCCAGGATCTGCTCCTTGCTGCGGCACTGGGGCTGCAGCCAACCTCGGCAGAGCTCCCGCAGGCGGCTGCACACCTCCCGCGGCCCCTCGGCCTCCTGGTAGCAGAAGCCCCGGAAGTGCTGGCGCCGCGTCTCCACAGCTGAAGGCTCATCCCTGGGTGCCAGCTCCAGCACCCGTGGGGAGGAGAGGGTTGGTGCAGCACCGGCAGGGGATGGCGGGGCTTGAAGCACCTTCCAGCGCTGGACCGGTTCCTCCTGCAGCTCCTGCTTGACCTGCCGTGGAGCTGCCCACGTCAGGGACCCACCGCTGGTCCCAGCCTGGACAATGCGAGGGGCTTTCCCGGTGCCCTTTGCTCCCACCCTGGGCTCTGCTTCCTGCTCCTCCACTTTCACACGGGGCTGTCCTGATGTTGGCAAGGGGAAGCCCGGGGCTGGCGCGGGACCCATATCAGCAGCCATTTCTCCTTGGGGAGGCCTCACCCAGCTCAGGGCCTCCTCTCTTGCTCTCTTGTGGGACTTACTGGAGGCGTCTCCGTCCCCTGGGCCACCTGTGGGAAAAGAAACAGAGCCATTATCATGTGATGGCAGAGCGAGGACGGAAAGAGCTCCATAAACCCCTGAGGCACCCTAAAATTAACTCCACAGGCAAGCTGCGTGATCATCTCCCCTGCACTGATGCAGGGCCTGGTGAAAGGGCTGGATCCCACAACACCCCTCTGTGCAAGGCCAGGACCACTACCACCTCATAAGCCCCTCTAGAAAAGCTAGAGAAGGTCCCAAGAAGGGCAGCAAGGACAATGAGAGCTATGGAGGAGAGACCCACAAGGCCAGGCCTGATCAGGTTAGAAGGGAGATCGTTGGAGAGGGGGCAGAAGGGTTTCCAAAATACTGAAAGGTGAAGAGAAAAATCACTGGGGATTTATTACCTGTCGCTCACCAGATAAAAACAGGGGGTCACCGCACAAGACTAGGAGGTCATTGATTGATAGCGAACACCAGGCAGGTCTTTTCTACCCAGAGTGGGAGGAAAGGGTGGGACTTGTGGCCACCAGATGTGCTGGAAGCTGAGAGTTTAGCCAGATCCACCAAGGGCTTGGACCTATTTTTGGAGGAAAAGGGCATCGGTCGCTACTGAGCACAGGAGTGAGGAGCACCTCAATCCTGAGCCTTCAATGCTGGCAGCTGCAAGGGAGAGAGGAACAGGAGGAGAAACCCAGCTCAGACCCAACACACTCTTTTCCAGCCTTTACTTGACACAGGAGACTGGGCAAGACAGATTTAGGGCCTGATCAGTCAATGGCACATTTTTATGGTCCCCACCCCAGTCACCCCAGCCAGGTCCCACAGCCCATCTCTTCCATACCCCAGAGCCCCTCTCCCCTTACAACTTTATAAATGACCCTCCCCGCAATTGTCCCATGTGGGCTCACAAACCCACAGCCCACTGCCCCCACCCCCCCACTTCCCCCCGCATAAAGACACAGGCCATGCAGCATAATACCCACCCCCCACCCGGGGGTGACTGGAGTGTTTTATTTAAGTGGATTTAGATTGGATTTCTGGAAAAAACTTTTCCACTGTTAGAGCTGGGAGGCAGTGGAAAACGCCCAGGGGAGTTGGGGACTTTCCATCACTGGAGGGGTTCAACGAGAGGCTGAATAGAGCCTGGGTAGAGGTGATCTAGGCACAACAATGCCTGTGCTCTGCTATGGGGATGTCCCAGGCTTCTGGGCTTTGCTGTTTGCCCCCCACCCCCACGCTTTCTGCCACATCAGGAAGTTTTTAAGCCTCCCCCCGAGGTGTTGGGTGCTGGCTGCAGCCCAGGCTGGGGATGGGGACTGGGATGTGCCAATGTTCCTGCTGGTACCAACACCAGAAGGTCATGGCTAGAGGGTCTTGCCCCTCTGCTCATGCTCAGACCGATGCCAGATTTGGGGTCAGGAAGGAATTTTACCCTGGTGAGATTGGTACCAACTGGGGAGGTGGGGGTTGCCTTCCTCTGTAGTGGGGGCACGGTCTCTACCTGGGATCTCTGGAGCTTTTATTAACAACCTTTCACAGCAGTAGGATGTTGGTGGCCATGGTCCCCCAGCTTTCCCTGCGGCAGTTTTGGTTGTGATGGCTGATGTTGTGTCAGGGCTGATGTTAGTTTTACAAAAAGTTTAGTTGCTGGATGCATCTGGGATGGTTTGGACAGAGCTGATCCTGCCTGGGGCAGGGGTTGGACTGGATGTGACCTCTGGAGGTCCCTTCAGCCCCACTTCTCTAGGACTCTCTGCCTCTATGACTTCTGACTCCCCTCCACCCCTACATCACTATGACCCTATGGAGTCATCTTTATGACCCCTAGAGGTCCCTTCTAGCCCAACATCTCCATGACACTATAACTATGACCTCTAGAGGTGCCTTCCATCACAACATCTCTACAACCTTAAAATAATGTCTCTATGACTTCTGGGGGTCCCTTCCACACTCTACAACCTTATAGTGAAGACTCTATGACCCCTAGAGGTCTTTTCTGGCCCAACATCTCTACAACCCTATAATGATGACTATGACCTCTAGAGGTACCTTTCACCCAGACATCTCTGTGACCCTATAATGACAACTCAATGACCTCTGGAGATCCCTTCCACCCCAACATCTCTATGACCCTATGATGACTCAATGACTTCTAGAGGTGCCTTCCACCCAGATATGGCTATGACCTTATAATGATGACTATGACCTGTACAGGTCCCTTGCAGCCGCACTTCGATATGATTCCCATCCCACTACCCTTCCCCTTTGTAAAGATCAGGGTGGAAAGGATCTGCCTCACTTTCTGCCTGAGATCCAGGATGGATGAGAGCCACTCTCACAGGCTCCCAGCCTTCGTTTCAGGCAATCAAGAGCCCAGAGGCATTAGTATCCTCAGCCTGCCATCAAGCTGGCAAGTGGACTATCCATCTTCATGGAGCTCTTTCAGTGCTCCCCTAAAGAGGGAGGAGCATCTCTGAGCCTGCAATTCTTCTCCCTGAACTTACTCCACTCCACTGGCAATGAGGAGACATCCTGCTGCTTCCTTCCTTTGCTTTCCCAAACCCTCACATCAGGCTTTCCACTCCCAAATGGCTCATATGAGTGCCTGATCCTAGTCCTCAATGGCTTTAAAAAGCCCCTGTATTCAGGCAACTTTCCTGCAGTCCTTGGTCATGCTTTTTGTGGTCATAAACAAGTCCCATTCCTCATCTGCCTTCTCCCCTGGGTTTGGATCCAGGCTCTGAAAGACAGCTCGATCCCAGTCCAGCCTGATTCCCCAAGGGCTTGGACCCATTCTTGGAGAAAAGGGTGCTATCGAGCCTGGGAGCAAGGGGTATGGCCTCTCAATGCTGGAGGCTGCCAGGGAGAGAGGAGCAGGGGGAGAAACCCAGCTCAGACCCAGCCACTCTCCCTTACAGCCTCCACTCTCTGCTACTGTGTGACATGGGAGACTGGGCGAGACAGACCTACAGACCCAGGATATGTGCTACTGAATACGTGGGACAAATAAAAGGCAAAATAGGTCAACAGTGAAGGTCACAGGTTCAAAACAAAGGCACTGGGCGGGGGAGTGCACCAGACATACCCCTTGAACCAGTCCAAGCAGCTACTGCATGCTGCCCAGTGATGCTCTGCGTGGAGACGAGATCGAACCAGGGAACGGAAAGTGGCTCTGGGGTCCCCAGGGTCCCCTGGCCACAGCCTCCTTCCTGGTGAGTATCTCAAGCAGGCCCAGAAGAATGTAGGCCAAGAGGTCCTGGGATTTAGTTAGGCCATGGATGGGGAATGCATAAACAAAAAGGTGGGGGGAGAAGAGCAGCCATCAAGAGGTTCTGGAGGAGGGGGTGAAGGGGCTGCAGCCTGGCACCCTCCAGATATGCGTGTGCTGGGATCTCCTTGGAGGCTTTGAAGCCTTGGCTAGACAAATACTTGGCTGGGATGACGTGTAGCCTTGCTGCTTTGCTTGGAGCAGGGGATTGTACTAGATGCAACTCCTGATATCCCTTCCAACATGAATTTTCTATGAGTCTATGAAAAAGGGCTTCCTCAGCAGGACACAGGGTTATCACCTTTCAGCTCCTCCTGTCCCAATAAGCCATGCTCGATGGGACTCTCCTCACCCGGGGCACCGTTCGGTGACACCCGGGATGACTCTGGGGGTGGTTTTATCCTATCGTAGACAATGAGGGCTGGAAGGGACCTCAGGAGGTCACATCCAGTCCAACTCCTGCTCCGAGCAGGACCAGCCTCAACTACATCATCCCAGCCAAGGCTTTGTCGAGCCAACCCTTGAAAACCTCCATGGTCTCAGGTTTCTCACTGTTTCTCTTCACAGGGAAGTTAGTGTAAAGGGGATGGTGTAGCTGTGTTGGCCCAGAAATCATGGGATCACAGAGAGTCCTACAGAATTGGGGCTGGAAGGACCTCCAGAGTTTCAGAGTCATCATTATAGGGTTGTAATGATGTCAGGGTGGAAGGGAATCTCCAGAGTTCATCGAGTCATCATCTCTACAACCCTATAATGAAGACTCTATGACCTCTGGAGATCCCCTCCACCTCAACATCTGTACGACCCTATTATGTCGGGGTGGAGGGGATCTGCAGAAGTCATGGAGGCAGAGAATCCTAGAGAAGTGGGGTGGAAGGGACCTCCAGAGGTCACATCTAGTCAACCCCCTGCCTGAGGCAGGATCAATATCGTGCATCAGCAGATGCATGACGAACAGATCCAAGGAGGTGATACTTCCCCTCTATCGGGCGCTGGTCAGACCGCAGTTGGAGTACTGCGTGCAGTTTTGGGCGCCGCACTTCAAGAGGGATGCGGATAACCTGGAGAGGGTCCAGAGAAGGGCCACTCGTATGGTTAAGGGCCTGCAGACCAAGCCCTATGAGGAGAGACTAGAGAACCTGGACCTTTTCAGCCTCCGCAAGAGAAGGTTGAGAGGCGACCTTGTGGCTGGCTATAAGTTCATCACGGGGGCACAGAAGGGAATTGGTGAGTATTTATTCACCAAGGCGCCCCCGGGGGTTACAAGAAATAATGTCCACAAGCTAGCAGAGAGCAGATTTAGACTGGACATTAGGAAGAACTTCTTCCCAGTTCGAGTGGCCAAGGTGTGGAACGGGCTCCCAAGGGAGGTGGTGCTCTCCCCTACCCTGGGGGTCTTCAAGAGGAGGTTGGATAAGCATCTAGCTGGGGTCATCTAGACCCAGCCCTCTTTCCTGCCTAGGCAGGGGGTTGGACTCGATGATCTGTTGAGGTCCCTTGCGACCCTAACATCTATGAATCTATGAAGCCCTGTCCAAACCACCCCAGACACAGCCAGCATCTAAACTCTTCCTAAAACTACCCTCAGCCCTGACACACCAGGCATTGCACCCAACCCTGCTGCAAGGAAAGCAGGGGGCCGCCAATGTCCTGCTGCTGTGAAAGATTGTTAATAAATGCTCCAGAGACCCCAGGCAGAGCCCGTGCCCGTGCCCCTGCTATAGACCCCCGCCTCCCCCAGTTTGTACCAATCTGACCAGGGGGGTGGAAATCCCATCCTGACCTCAAAAGTAGCATCAGTCTGAGCCTGAATATAGGGGCAAGACCCTCTAGTCAGGAGCCTCTGGGGTTGGTCCCAGCAGGATCATTGGCACAGCCCAGTCTCCATCCTCATCCCCTCTGGAGGAGGTTTAAACCCCCCCTGACACATGGAGCAGAAAGGTAGGGAAGGGGGGCAACCAGCAAAGCCCAGAGGCCTGGGACATCCCCATAGCAGAACACAGGCATCGCAACCCCTACATCATCCCCCACCAGTGTCTATCCAACATCTCCTCGAGCCCCTCCAGTGATGGAGCGTCCCCAGCTCCCCCGGGTCTCTCTCCCAACGCTTCTTGGCTTGAAGAGGGCAAACGTTTCCCCTGAGATCCAACCTCAACCTCCTTCACTGCCACTTGGTCCACGTGCAAAACCAAGGATGTGAGAAGCGTGGACTATTTAAGGTGGTCTCTACTGGATCACCGGGGCTGCTGGGAGGTGGAGCTAGAGCTGCTTGGTCTAAGTCTATCCCAAAGACAGAATGGGTCCAAAACAAGAGATATTAGGAAAAACCTCTCTCATTAGGAGGGGTGAGAGACACTGCAGCGGGTTATTTAAAAAAGTGGAGGTATTTAAGACACGGCTAGACAGAGCCTTGCTGGGATGATGGAGTCGGGGCTGGTCCTACTCGGAGCAGGCGGTTGGACAAGATGTGACCTCCTGAGGTCCCTTCCCACCCTCGTTATCTAGGATCCTGAGATCCTCCATAGACAGCCAGGCCTCTCTCATGGGGAGGCCAATCTCAGGAGGTGAACGCTGAGAACGCATGAACGCTGCGTTTGATGCCAGTCCCAATAGTCCCTCCTACTTGTCTGAGATAACGACCTCTGCGCTACTTGGGAAACTCTGAGTCACTGTCATTCCTACCCGGGGGCTACCCTTGGTGGCCTTGCCCGAGGATCACGATCCCTACTCCCTGTCCTGGGCTGATAAACAAACCTGGGATACCCCAAACTCCTCTTCCCCCAACCTCAAGGATCTCTGGGTTCTCCCGGAGGACAAGTGCCATGTCTTGCAGCTGCTGGGGACCCCCCTCAATGGGATGCTGGTCTCACCGAGTCCGGATGCCAGCTGGACCCAGATCCTATCGTGGCAGGGATTATAGCATCCGGGTTTCTTTCACCCAGAGCCCAACTGATGTCAGGCGGCTCAGGGTGCCCCTGGGACAGACAGGGGGGTCCCGAGTGACATGGTGGGGCCGTACCAGAGCCTGTGCTTGAGTCTCCCGTCTTCCAGCCTCTCCACCACCGGCGACCCAGGATGACTGGCTGCGAGACAGAGACCTCGGCAAGCCGGACTGGCCTGGGCAGCTGCAGGGGAAGGAACGGCAGCGGGACGGGGAGGGCTCACCCTGATCCCATTACCTGGATTAGCCGCAGTGACCCCTTTGTCCCTGCTGCTTTCAGGCCTGTCTGTCTCCCCGGCCCTGCCTCTCGCACCCGGATCCCTGCGGCTGGGACCTGGCTCCAGGCACCACACACCCCCTCTCCCTAGAGGCTCCTGCCCCCCTGCCCCAGTGATGCCCCTCACTCCCCAGCCCCCTCCGCCCCAGTGATGCCCCTC